GTGATTTGATTGTCCTGACTCGAGGAGGGGGCCTGCCCTGAGATCCGACGTAGCGAAAAAATCAACATCGTAAACAATCACGCCCAGAGCCCCAGACTGCATCTTTCCACGTCACGTTTCCAGCCGGATCGATACGTGAGAGCCCCGGGGCCCGAAGAGAGGCGAGATCGCTCGGCCCGAAAAAATGGAAAAACGCCAGGGAGGGGAGGGGGAGGGCTCGATCGCATCTCGCTTCCTCGTCTTGCGATTCCTTCCCAGACATGCGACGTCCTGGTTTTTTTTCTGGACGGCGCCCCTGGAACTCCCGACCCCTTCCTCCGGACCGGTGTTTCATCCCGAGTCGTTTTTGGACGGTCCCGGGGCCCAGCGAGGGCCCCCGAGGGCCCAACACGGCTCAAAACTTGCCGCCCCGCTTCCACGACGCGAGCCTGCCTGGGTGGCGTCTCGAGCTTTTCCTCCTCTCGCGGGCCTCCGGGCCGCCCCGGGGCAGGGCCGCCGTCCCGCCCGGGGCCGCCCGCCCCGAGGCGGGGCGCCCCTCCCGGCGGGGGGCCCAGGCGCCCCGCCGCCGCGCCGCCGCCGAGGCCGCCCGGCGGGCGCGCGGCCAGCCGCGAGGAGCGCAGACCTCCTCGCGCCGTGAAGCAGTCACGGAAAACACAACCACACGAGAGTGCAACAACACAAAACAGAGGAGAAAAACACACGACGGGAGGCTTTTCGCTGCTGTCGGCCTCCGGGGGGCCCTTCCCGGGCCTCGGGGCCGTCAAGGAACGCTCCGGGGCGGAGAGCCCCGGTCCCGGGGAAGGGGTCCAGACCTCTGGAGGTCGACGGCGTGAAAGAATCACGGCGTCGGGGGTCTGGGAGGCGGGGGGCGCACGGCTGCGGCAGGGGCAGAGGCCGAACGCCGCGCGGTCCATGGCATAACGGCGCGCCGCCGCGCGCAAGCCGCGCGGCGGCGGTAGGGAGGCCTGTCTTCGGCGGGGGGCTGTGGACGAGGAACCCTTCTTCTTCTCCTGCTCCTCCTCATCCTGCTCCTCCTCCTCCTCCTCCTCCTCCTCCTCCTCCTCCTCCTCCCTCCTCCCTCCTCCATCTGCCCTCGTCCTGCTCCTCCTGCTCCTCATCCGCCCACCTCATCCTCCTTTTCCTCCTCCTGCTCCCCTTCCTCCTTCTCCTCCTGCTCCTCTTCCTCCTCCCTCCTCCTTCTCCTTCTCCTCCTCTTGCTCGTCCTTCTTCTCCTCTTCCTGCTCCTGCTCGGCACGGACCAGCAACATGATGCTTCCAACTTCGAGCACTGAAGTTCACCGCAGCCACGCTGTGCCGCAGGGTGAGACAGAGGAGCGGATGGATGGCGTTAGATCTCTCGACGCCACGCGCTGCCTCAAACAGAAAGCCAAATCATCCAGGGACTGGGAGCCGGTGGCAATCGTGGACTGGCCGTGGATATCGCTGCCGCCATCTCTAGATCAGGAACACTCAAGAGTCTGAGTCCTCCTGGGCACATTCCTGAGCCAGCGCCCCTACCGTATCCTTCGGTGGCAACTCACGGGGGCCCCTCATGCCATCTTGCTGTCTCTTGCGAACCGACGCGAACCGACGCGAGTCGTCGCTATTCGGCGCTACACCGTCGCTGATCCAACGCGGAGTCGCCGCGAATCGGCGGACACATCTCGCCCCGAAATGCGTCCGCCGAAGAGCGGCGGCGCCGCACAGGCGGGCTCCGAGAGAGCGCGCCCGCGGCGCCGCGGGGCCAGAACAAACGGCTGCGGGTCGGTCGGTGTTCTTTCGGTCTTTCGGGCGGGTGGCAATGGAGGGTGACCCAAATGGGGAGTAAAGAAAAAAGCCCTAAAAGGGCCCTTGTGAGCGTTTTCTTATTCGGCGTTGCGACATTGAGCGAAAAGGGAGGGGGGGGTCTGGCTCTGGACCTCTCTGCTTAGTGCGACTGTTTGCGACAGTGCGTCGTATGAGTGAGGACGCCACCTGCTGGAAAAAGGTACCACAAACAGCCAAGATCTACTCAGCGGGGGGGGGGGAGGGGGGGGGGGTCGAGGGCCCGCGCCGATCGGCAAGACAATGCATAAAACGGCGATCACCTGTATTGCCCCGTTGGGAGCCAGCAGGTGCCCAAAAGGGCCCCTGGAGGGCCCTTTTTATAGGGCCTGCCTCTTCACCCCCGACTTGCGTCACTCCCCATGGCCACCTGCCCGATCGGTGTTCTTGCTGGGCGTTGCCGCGAGCGCCCCGGAGTGCCCATTTTCCATTCCGGCCAGAGCCGCCGCACCGTCAGGGAGGTGCTACATGATTTACCATCAGAAAACGTGACCCCTTAGGGAGGGGACCTAAATCAAAAGGGCCGAAAGCATGAGGGATTTGGGGATCTGTTCTGCAGATGTATCAGACTGGACCGCCCAGATCTATGATCCCTGATGCGAGAACGGAGACCTCAGTGTGGCCGCGCCTTCACCGTGCCATCGGTGCGCTCGATGACTAAAGGTGCCCCTGGCCCGAGGTGCCCCCAACTTTTCGTTCCATTTAGGAGCCTAGGGGGCCTTCCCGGCATCGTGAGGGGTGCTCTGGGGGCCACGGGGGCCTCCTTGGAAATCCCAGGGCCACCTTGGGCCAGGGGTACTTCTAGCAACATCCCACACCTGCGCGAAGGATGACGCGTTCTGGGCGATGGCAGCCCGCAGCCCCCTCTTCGCGCATCACCGCTGTGAAAAGATCGCAACGCCAGGATCTCAGGGAACGACGACGGCGACGACGACGATGACGACGTCGACGACGACGACGAGCACGACGACAACGGTCGGGGGGCCGGGGGGCGGCGGCGGCGCCGCCACCGCTGTGGAATCCTCCCTGTCTGCCCAGGACGAGCCGGGGGAGGTGCTCGCCCTCGGAGGCCTCGCGCCTGCCCCGCCTCCGCCCCAGGCCTCGGCCCCCCCGCGCCGCGCGACGGGCTGGCGCCGCTGCCGCGGCGGCGTGCAGGTACAGCGGGGGCGGGCCTCGAGGAGGCGCGAGAGGCCGGTCCGGCGCGTCGGCCGGGGCAGGCCGTGCGGCAGAGGGGGGGGCCCCAGGGCTGGCTGCGCGTGCATTCACAAGGCAGGGCTGGACCTACAATCATCGGCCTGACCAGGACAGCCCCTTCTTCTCGAGGGGATAACGCATCAGGAACGATACACAATACAAAAAAACATGAAGAACAACGAATAACGCATGCGAACCTAAGGAACGGCCGAGCCCCTTTTGAAAAGTAGGTGTTCCTTGCTCAAGCCGCTCACTGTATCCGTTGTTTCTCGTTTTGATGTTCGTGTTGGCTTCGTGCTGTTTTTGGTTGTGCCTGTTGTGTTCGTTTTCTCTTCGTTGCGTTGTTCGTCATGTTTTCGTTATGGTGATCGTTTTGCTCGACCTCTTTTCCTGCACAACCCAAAACGAAAAACAAGACACAGCCTTTAGGTCCAGCCCTGCCGCAAGAAGCGCATGGAAGAACGAACAGAAAAGCGCGGTCGGCCCAGACCTCGATCGACATTCAAATACCGCCAAGCGGATGTTGTATGTACCGTCATGCTCGGCATGCGGGGGGCAATTCCTGGGGCCGGGGCCCGGAGCAGTCCAACAACGACCTGAGGGGACACCGGCCTCGGGAGGTTCGGAGGCAGCTCATGGGAGACTCCCATAATAACTTGTCGGCTCTTGCGAATCGACGCTCGTCGACGCTGAATCGACGCTAAGTCGACGCTAATCGACGCTGCCCGACGCCAGATCGGCGCCATCTCTTTCACTCCCAGACGCTGATCGGCGCTGATCGACGCTGAAGACGGACTTACGAGGGTACCCAAGGCTCCCATTCGGTCGGGCATGTCCTCCTGCAGGGGGACTTTGGACGAAAAATGAAAAATACTCCCAAGATGCCCAAACATTATCAAACATAGTCGAAGAACCGTCCGCAGACTATCTTTGCATCTATTTTTGAATCCTCCTGCTGTAGAGGGACACGCCCGACGTAAGGCTCCCATGATTCGCGACCGAAACAGTCGAACAACGGCCTGATGGAAATCCAGCCCTCGGAAAGGGCCAGCACCTCCAGGGAGCTCGCGAGCACGGCGTGAGCCACGACGTCGGAAGTCTAGCAGTAGGTCGGGCGCGCCCCCCTACAGGCGCACTTGGGCGAAACACAAAAACAGTCCAACAATATTCAAAAATATACGAAAAAAATCTCAAAACACCGTCCTCGGAGTGTTTTTTACTAATTTTGAAGATCCCTCCTGTAGAGGGACGGGCCTGGCTTACTCCGGTCCAGAGTAAGTCTGGCCTGGGTGGGCGCTCGCAATTCGCAGGCGGCCCACCATGCCCAGAGAGCCGATGTCTCGAGTTTTCCACACGGGGTCCCTGGATCGAGGATTCCCGAATGGGGTCGGAGCACATGGGGTCGGAGGCTCGCGCTGCATCGACGATGCATCGGCGATGCGGGTTGATGTGGAGCCCGATTTTCTCCACGCTGGCGTCGCCGATGCGTCGCCGATGTCGCCGATGCATCGCCGATGCATCGACGACATCTCGGCAATGCATTGGCGATGCGGCGCGATCTTCGACCCCATCCACTCGGACCCCATCTAGGAGGCCTCCGCCAGGAGTCTCGACCCCTCCCCCGGGGCCAGTTCGTCATCCCGAGTCGTCTTCTGCCGGTCCAGGAGCCCGGCGAGGGCCTCCAGAGGCCGACGCAGACAAGCAGGCGCCCTCTGCATGTCAAACCCTTCCATGCGTCTTGGAGGTGGCTCCGCGCAGGTGTCCCAGATCGGCGCTGGTCCCTGTTCCTCCCTCCTCCCTCCCGTATCCACCCTTCGTCCTCCCCCCCCCTCCTCCCTCCTCCCTCTTCCTCCTCCTCCTCCTCCTCCTCCTCCTCCTCCTCCTCCTCTGCCTGGGGGCGCGCCAGAGGCCGCGCCAGGGGGGACCAGCGCAGATCGAATCTGAGAACCCCGCGCGCGGAGCTCCGGCGCCATGTATGGTGGTGCGATTCGGGGTGAGCGCCATCGCAGCGCAGAGCCCAGTCCCAGCGCCAAGACGGCGAGGCCGGGGCGCTTCTTTCTGGCGCGCGCGCGAGGCCCAGCCCCCCGAGGGGGAGAGGGCCCTCCCAGCGTCGCGGGAGGAGGCACATCCCGGCAGCGTGCGGAGGAGGGGAGGGAGAGGTCCTGGTCGGGCTTGAAGGATACGGGCCCTGAGTAGGTTGAAGTCGGGCCTGTCCCTTTACATGGGGAATATCTAAAAATGGTCGAAGCATACTCAGAAAACAATGTGTTGAGCAGGTTTTGAACATGTTCGAATATTTTGGGGGGTATGCATTGTTCGTCCAAGCTCCACCAGTAGGGGGGCACGCCCGACCGAAGGGTAGGTGTTGTATGCTTTCTGTGCGGAGGAACGAGGAGAGAGGAGGGAGGAGGAAGGGAGGAGGAGGAGGAGGGAGGAGGGAGGAGGGAGGAGGGAGGAGGAGTGAAGAGGGAGGAGGGAGGAGGGAGGAAACGGGAGGAGGTTGGAGGAGGGAGGTGGGAGTAGGTAGGCGGAAAGAGGAGGGAGGAGGGAGTAGGAGGAGAGAGGGAGGGAGGGAGGAGGGAGTAGGAGGAGAGAGGAAGGAGGAGGGAGGAGGAGGGAGGAGGAGGGGGGAGGAGGGAGCAAGGAGGGAGGAGGGAGGAGGAGGAAGGGGGATCGCCCGCCCCCTTCTCTCAGGGCGCGGCATGCGCGAGGCCTCCGAGGGCGAGCACCTCCCTGAGCTCGTCCTGGGCAGAGGGGGAGGGGTCCACAGCGGCGGCGGCGGCGGCGCAGCCCCCCCCGCCCGTCGTCGTCGTCGTCGTCGTCGTCGTCGTCGTCGTCGTCGTCGTCGTCGTCGTAGTTCCCTAAGTTTCTGGCGTTGCAATGTTGTACACTACGGGCGCTTTCGCTCGATTTCGAGCCCCTGGGCCCTCACAGATCGATCCGGCTCGGAGGATGACGCAGAAAGCTGCGGCCTGGGCCGGATTCTGCCACCATGGAGGCCGAGCCTGGCAGAAGACCTCCCGCCCCGAGGCGGCCACCACGCAGGAGGGCGAGCGCGCGCCGCGCCGAGGGCCAGGCCGGGCGTGTCCGCCTGCAGGCGGATCTGGGACGAGACATCAAAAACAGCCCCCCCCAAAAAGCCCCCCCCCCCCAAAAAAAAAACAGATAAATAAAGACACGCGCGCAACCTAGTCTAAACAACCAGAGAGAACAGGATCGTCCCGAGATTATGTTTGTTGGCCATCCTGGAACCTCCCTCATGCAGGCGGGCCTTCCCCGACCTGGGCCGAGGGGCGCCAGGGGGCCCCGGCAAAGGCGGCCGCGCGCCGCGCCGGCACAGCGAGGCCGCCGCCGGGGCGAGCCGCCCACCACGCCCGGCCGGGCCGCATCTCTGCCGCGGCCGCCCGGGCCACGGGCCACGACGCCGCCCGGGAGGGTGGCGTCGCCGCGCCGCGCCCAAGGCGGCGGAACGTAACAGTAAGTCGGGCGTGTTCCCCTGCAGGGGGATTCTCGACGAAAAAAGAAAATACCCCAAACATACACCAAAAAGGTAACAAAATACTCCACAAATAGTCCCCAGACTATTGTTGAACTATTTTCGGGCTATTTTCTGCAATTTTGTTTCATTTTTCGTCGACAGTCCCCCTGTAGGGGGACAGGCCCGACTTAAACGTCACACGGACCACGTCGAATCACGAAAAAGCAGAGGACGAAGAGGAGGAAAGACACTGAATCTACGCCACGTGCTGTATAGAGGTCACACTACAGGGCACTTTGTTAATACATAGGACTTTCACAAGGTATCTGATTCTTAATCCATGATTAATGTATGAATATATGTATGCATGACCTCACCGTTGTCTTATAATACTAAATCCCTGCATTCGTAATACATGATCCGATCATGTATTACAAACGGCACTGTAACACGGACCACGTCGAGTCACGAAAAAAGCAGAGGACGAAGAGGAGGAAAGACACTGAATCTACGCAGCGTGCTGCATAGAGGTCGCACTAGTGCTGGCGCGGTCGCCCTCGAGGATGGTACCAGCACCAAAACGACGAGAGGTGTGTCGCCGTCTTCGGCCTCTGGGGGCCCGTAGTGGGCCCGGGGACGGTGAAAGATCGGCGCGGGAGGAAGAACCAGTCCCGGGGAGTAGGTCGAGACTTCTGGGGGCCGACGGCCTGAGAAAATCATGACGTCGCGGTCTGGGAAGAGTGACTCTATAGCCAAGAGTGACCTTTGGCGCGCGGCTTTCGGGAAGCCGCAGGGAGGGCCAATTTCAAACCCAGACGCGCGAGACGCAGCCATCTCGCATGGTATCCAGCGATCGGGGGACCCCAGTGGGCCCGCACCAGGGGTCACTCCGGCGAACGGTCACTCTTACGTGCAGTCGACCAAAACGTTGCTGTGACCCGACTCGGAACCGAATTGGTGAGGTCGAGTTGGTGTTTTCATTTGCTTTTGGGGTCGCCCCGATGTTTTTGACTCGGCACTCGACCGGGAGTGGCTTTAGGCGATTTTTGGCCAGTTCATTCCTCGGCCGACTCTGAGATCCGACGTTGCGCAAAAAATGCGGCATCGCAAATAATCACGCCCAGAGCCCCGGACTGCATCTTTCTGCGTCATGTTTCGAGCCGGATCGATCTGTGAGTTTCCGTGGGCCCGAAATTGAGCTAAAGCCCCTGTTGTGAACAACTTGCAATGCCATGGAGAAGCTCTCGAAGGCCAGAGTGCACATGTGAACCAAAACTCCGAGAGGAAAAAGAACATGTGCTTGGCCGAGCAGCCGCAGTACTTCTGGAAGAACAACGAATTCATTGCGATAACGTGGGTCACCCCGACGGCGACCCCAGACAGCATACAAAATTGAAGCCAAGATGGATGTGACGTCCCAAAATCTGGCCAGGCCGAGGCCTGCGGGCTGTCTGGGGGCCGCCGAGGCGGCCAGGCACCCCTCGGGTAGCCCGAGGGCACACGCAGCCCGAGGGGGCCTAGGTCATGCATACTGTCGGTCTCGTAGAACATGCTAGCTTCCGTCGCTGCCACGTGCTCGAGCCTGCTTCTGACGAGGAGGGCGTTCCTCAAGGTCGTCCAGCATGGCATCAGCATCTGACTTGGATTTGCCCTTCCCCACACCTTTGCCCAACATGCTCTGCACCAGGGGTCCGTCGGTAGATCTCTGATGGGCCATTCCGACCGCATCGAGGCGAAGGGAGGACGCAGAAATACGATTGAGCATGCGCAGAAACTCGAGGTCCGCGAGGTTGGACGGCATAAGCGCGAACACCCATGCGACATTCTCCTTGGGGTCGGGATGGCGTGCTGGCTTGAAACGGAAGATCTGCTCGTCAAGGTGCTCCATGGAGAGGCTCTTGAGCTTCTCGAGAGGCTCCCTGAGGTCTGAAGGCGAAGGAAGTTTACTGAGAAATATGGCCACGAACTTGGCGAAAAGGAAAGCACGCTGTGATCCAAACTCATGTGGAGGAAGCTCGGCATTCTTGTCCGAGGCGAGGGCAATCTTGTGAGCGTCCTTGCGCTCCTTGTCCTTAGTGCGCCAACCTTGACGAATATTACGTATCTGGCTCTTTGAAGACTCATCTTTGAAGAATACTTCATAGCAAATCCTATCCTGGAGCTCGTGAATGTCCCGCTCGTGGCTAGCTTGCACTCGTTCCAGATTACGAACTCTTTCTTCCAAACTCGAGCTGGGTGTGGCACGATCGCGATTCCTGCGAGAATCATCAACAGGCGTAACATTGGCGATGTATGCTTCGGCGGCCTCCAGCGCCATAAGAGAAGAAATCGCACAACTGGGAGCCCTGCTTGAACCCGTCTATGGCGACAAACAACAACATGAGCAGCACATGCACGTACGCTTGGGAATCGATTCTGGCATTGAGGACACATAGCCGTCCAGCTCGACCGTTCAGATTCCGTAGCTTTTCGATTTGTCCGATTCATATTGAATTGCAACCAAACATCATACGGGGCCGATACACAGTTATAACGATGCATAGCATATGGTTTTTCCCGTGTGCAATATGGGCAGACCAATTTCCGAGCACTCTTAGTAGTGGCCGATGTACGTAATGTTCTATCGCATTGTTTGAGTTGTCGGGGTTTAGGTGGTCGAATACGATTGATAGGTCGCGAGAGGTCCGTGTTCAGAGTCATGGAGGACGGCTTGTATGTGGCCGACGATTGGTGACTGACCGACATTTGTTTACCTCGAAGTCGAACTCTTGTCTGGGAAACCGATGCATGTTTACCACTGATTCGAACTCGTTTCGTTGAGGGAGGTACTGGAGGAGGATCAGCAGCGGCAGCAGATGGCGCGGCAACATCAGAAGGAAGGCGTACTCGCTTTTCTGGTGCACCCAACACACCTGAAGGAGGTCTCTTGCCTCGGACGCGCCGGCCCGGGTGGGCGGCGCGCTGCCCAGAGCGAGTGTCTGCCTGCGCCCGCCCCTGCTCTGATAGTGCCCGTCCCCGGCAAAAACGCTTGTGTGATGATAGCGTCGACGTCCTCAGTCCGCAGTCGGGACATGCACGCAGCTGCTTGGGCGGTAGAGGGACTCCACGGCAGATTGAATACCTGAGAAGCGCAGCTGGGACACGTGACATGCCCCGACACCGTTCGGGTCGCAGCGGCAGCTCGTACTTGCTCGATGTACGCGGTACGAGTCGCACTATGCCGCTGACGCCACGTGTCCGCATCCAGTCGCTGTTGCAAGTCTTTCAGAAAAAGATGCTGAGCCTGCCGCCAACGATGACCGCGATCAGGTGAAGTAGAGCCTCGCCTTGCAAACAGCTGCCAATCATTCATCTGCATATGTACTGCCAATCCAGAATATGACATGATCTCCTGCACCCGTGTCCTGAACATGCGGGACTGCGGAGTAGAGCAGGCTGGGCGTGTGGGGTCCAAACGAAAATGAAGTACTGCTCGCTCAAGACGGTCAGGTGGTAGTCTGGCTAAGTGCCCAAGATAGCTGCCCTGTCGGTGTACTATGTAGTATTCGACGTCTTGAAGGCCAAGCTCGAGTCTGATGTCTGTGCTGGTAGCCCCCCCTTCCATCCATGTTAGAACGCCCATCTTGACTTTGTCGTGATACAAATATCTTAGGCATCTATTCATGAACAAACGATATCTGTGATAGTCACTCTTGCTAAATTCACGTATTTCAAAACCATAGAATAATGAAGCCAACGCCGTGGCTTCGAAGACGCGGCCCTTTCGACGAAGACTGAGACCCAGGCGGGGAAGACGTCCTTTTAACTTCTGCCAGAGTTTACCAGCGGCTTGTAGGCGACGGCTGGCGTCCTCAGTGGTACCCCCGTTGGAGTCGATGTGACATCCGAGAAATCTGACGGATCGAGCCCAATGTCTATCCTCTGCCGTGAACGGATATTTCGGTGATACCACAAATCGCTCAAATTTTTCTGGATGTGCCTTTTGCCCAAGCTCCCGAAGCGCACGAATAATCAGGTCCTCAGTGAAAGGTCGACGGGCCTTCGCGCTCACCGCGGTCGTGTCGCCCGCGAAACCCAAAACTCTCAGGACGGACGGGGTGATGTTAGGGTCTCTCGTCTTGCTCGACTTCCTTCTGCTTGTCGTTGGAGCTGATGGGGTCGGTGATTGGGGCGGTGGGGCAACTGTGAAGAAAATAATACCATCAGAAGCCACTGTATTCTTTAATCTCCTCAAAACCAAGTTATGCAGTAAATTGAAGATCACGCAGCTCGAAGGACAGCCTCCCCTGAGGCCTCTCCCCAATCTGCACGGACGCGAGTCCTCCGTAGGTAATCTGATCGCGTATTCGGTACCACAATGAAGCCCTCGAAGTCGTGCGATCATGTCCTGGGGAATGCCGATCTTCTCGAGGATGATCCAAGCCAACTCTTGAGGAACATTGGGATATGCCCTCTCTATGTCGGCCAGCGTGAACGTGACCGCGTTCTCGACGTCCTGCTCGGTAGTGGAGGGGTCCAGGGCCGCAGCTTCCACTACAGCTCTCATAAGTACTGCCGCGTCGATCGTGCGACGGTGGGTACGAAACCCCCACTGTTCGGGTTCGAGGAGGCCTTGGTCCTCGGCCCATGCGGAGAGTCTCCGAGAACATATCCTGGCAATGATGCGTGACGGTATCGGTAGTAAAGATATTCCTCGATATTGTTTCAAATCCGATTGCAATCCTTTCTTCTTCCAGAGGAGGATGACGGCACTACGATGGTTGTCCCTGCCCCAGTTCTCGGGGTTGACGTCCCAGAGGTGGGAGATCAGATTCCAGAGCGCATCGGCGCATTGAGGACCTGCCGTACGCCACAAACCAATCGTCAATTCGCCATCCCCCCCTGCGGAGTCCTTCATTCCACAAGTCGCATCTTCATACTCTGCACGGGTAAGTGGTGAGCTAAGTACAGGATCGGCGGGGCGTCGAGGTTCGTCGGCAACAGTCTCCAAAGGTACTACGTTGGGTTCTCCAGCGAGCTTCGAGAAATGATCCCTTGCCTGGGCTGCAGTGAAAAGGCGCGGAGGTGGAGGCGTCGAAGTCGCCGAGCCAGATGCCTAGATCACGCAAGTAACGGTAGAACCGGCCTAAGTCGTGGGACTCCATGGTCTTCTCGCACTCTGATACGACTGCTGACACCAGTATTCCCCGTTGGCGTCGGCGATCTCGTCGGTACTGCTTCTTGGCCAGGCGGTGGAGGTCCATGGCAGCCTTGCGGTCCTCGGCGGTGGTAGCACATCGAACTGAGTTCCAAGATACTTGCAATGCTTTCTTCTGAGCACGCTCCTCCTCCCGATTGTGAGCCAACGCTGGTATGTCGCCCCTCCGCGTGCGACGGCCTACCAGTCCGTCAGCTGCCTCTCGGAGACATCGGGCTAAAGTCGACCACGTCGGGGGTGAAACATCCGATTGAGCGTTCACATGTGAGCTTGAACTTCCGCGCACTGCTCCCAGTCCCTGGCAACCGCTGGTGGAGGGTAAGCTCGGTGTCCTCGTAGCGGCCAGAGCAGCGTCTGACTCCTCACGGAAACGTTGACGTATATCCTCGGCCGCTTTACCTGGCCCGCGCAGCAGGTCGGTGCGCAGCTTGCCTCTAGGACGCAAGGAGGAGTCGAACCCCGATACCCAATGAGTACGTGTCGCTGAGGGAGCTCCCTCCTGACGTCGTCGATGCTGGTGTCTGAGTTCTGGTGGAGGTCCATGAAGTCGTCCAAAAAATTGTACACATCCTGATAACATCATATCGCTGAGAAAAACTACGTCCCAATGGTAGCGTCTCGATGCCATGATCAATCCCTGAAGCTTTGACCTGGCACTCGGGCGGGATGGGGTAAGTGTCTGGCAGTTCCATGTCGCTAATCTGATTTGACGTGTCAGCCGCGAAGTGCGGCACGCTCGATGAAGCCGACGAGTAGGATGCATTAATTTGGAGAAAGCCGTCGGGGTCACCCGCCATTGGTGCGTCCCCTCCGACCGCCGCATGAGGCTATCTGGGCTTGCGTCGGTGACCTGTCGAACTTTGCCGTGGTGGTCGAATGACACGGGTAGCGGAGGTCCCTCTCGAAGAACACTCTGCACCCTGAAAAATGATGAATTCTCCAGCGTTGGCCCACCCTCTGTCAGTACAATCTTGTAATCAACTCCGTCGTGAAGAAGATGGTTTCCCTTCCATACCTATAGGGGAGGGCGTCCAGGCCAGTGGAAGCCATCAACTAACTTACAGCAAGGTGCGGTGGCCCAGAGATCCAGCGTCTTTCGGGGGCGCGCCAATATGGATTAGCGATCCATGGATTTGGCGCGCGGTCGCCAAATCCATGGATCGGGGGAGGTGCCCTCACCAAAATGCGGCCGGTGCCGCCTCGCTCGGCGTCGGAAATCCGCGATTCCGCATGGAAGCGGAACCCGTCGCTAATCCACGCCCCCTTGATCCATGTTTGCGATCGCCTGACAGTGGAAGCCTGTCGCCATCAGCTAGCTTACAACAAGCTGCGGTGACCCAGATCGGGCGTTGACAGAACTGGGTTTATTGGAACCTGGTTTAGTGATGTGAACTGGGGGACGCCCCCCCGCCCCGTTCCACTGACCGGAACTGCCGTCACCCGAACAAACGCCACTTGCGGCAGGCCTGGTATAGTGATTCTGGCCAATTCAAAGGCTCCGGGGCCCTACCACTAAGCGTGCCGCCTTACCTGGGGTCCTGGCTATACCCGACCAGAGATCCAGCGTCTTGCAGAGATCGGGGCGGAGGTCGTGCGCCGCGTTCGGGCTCTGGCTGGGTAGAGGCCCTCGCCGGGAGAGGGCCGTCCACATCAAAACGACGCCGCAGGGGAAGTGGGTCCCCCGTAGCGGGTCGATGCTTCCGGGGCCCCCTGTTTCAGATCGGGCAGGGCCTCCTACAGGGGGGCCATAGAGGGAAAACTTCAAACAATAAATTGTCTTTGGCAACAAAAAGTCGTCCCCCGACTATGTTTGAACTATTATTGGATATTCCTCCGGTGGAGGGACATGCCCGACTTCACCGCTGTTGAACAAAAAAACAATATCTGGACATGGGCCGTGCTGGGGCCTAGGCATCCCGACACAAGACGTCACCGCACGATCCATCACCGCACGGTTCTTCGGGGATGGACAGAAACCCCTTTAGTAAAACGGGGTTCAGTGCAAACGGCCTCGGGAACAAACCTGGCGGGCGCGAGAGCCTGGAAAATGACGGCCGCGGCGCCCTCTCGAGAACCGAAAACGGACACTTCACGAATCGACGTGTCAGGGTGGGGGTTCTGTCCACCCCCGAGTTTGAGGTCGGGCCTGTCCCCCTACAGGGGCATTTTGGGCGAAAGCTCTGACATACTCCATTCATACCCACAAAGTAGCCAAACAATTCTCCAAGCATCGTGCCCGTTCTATTTTTTTGACTATTTTGGAATTTCCCCCTGTGGATGGGCAGGCCCGACTGAACCCGAGTGTCCTGAGACCTCGGAGGCCCTGGTCTCGGCTACACGCAAGAGTGACCCTGGGTAAGAGTGACCTTTGGTGCGCGGCTTTTTGGGGGGCGCTGGGAGACCAAATCTGGGCGCGCAAGCCGCTGCTAACGCTTCGTTCTCAGCCATCTGAGGACCCATCTGTGCCCGCACCAGAGGTCACTCCTGCGAAAGGTCACTCTTACGTCTAGTCGACGGTCGCCCGAGACGTCCTCGGAGAACGGCCCAAGCCCCAGAACCGCGCAGAGTCACCCCGACTCCCTGCCCCGCCGAGGTCGCCACTCACACGTACGGTCCCAGAGATCCGACGTCGTGCTCGTTCCAGTTCGGGAGCGGCCCAGAGGGGGGTTTCCAAGAAGGGGGGGGTGCAACTCATGACCGGCGGCATGTGCGCGGCCCAGCGGGGGGGCCAGGGACGTAATGGAGCAGGAAGAGGCGTCATGAACTCTGGGAAATATCATGGCCCCCGCCATGAGATCCACCCCCCCCTGTCATCACCCCCCTCTGTGCCGCCCCCGATCGATGCGCGGTCCCTGGAAGTCTCGACCCATTCCCCGGGACCCGTTTTTCACTCGTTTTTTGGCGGTCCCGAGGCCCGGCGAGGGCCCCATGGGCCGAAGCTTGCGAGAAACCTCCGCCTTGAGATTTTGTCAGTGCCCTGGACCTCTGGGCCCGACTCCCTGCCCTGCTGCGGTCTCCACGCGGTGTGGTCCCCACGCCGCGCCGCTCCGTTTGTCTGGGCCGGGGGAGGCCTCGGTGGCTCCGCGCTGCCCTCCCGGTCCGGGCCGGGAGCAGGTGCCCGCCACGGCCCACCTATGAGGCCCCCCCCAGGTCCCCCGACGTCATGGCTTTTCCCTGACGTCGACTCCCGGAGGTCTCGGCGCATTCCCCAGGAACGGTCTCCCCTCCGGATCAGCCCTGAGATCCTGGCGTTGCACACTTTGCACAACGGGGGGTGCAGCTCAGTTTCGGGGACCCTCACAGGTCGATCCGGCTCGAAAAATGGCGCAGAGAGATGCGGTCCGGGGCTCTGGGCGGGATTTCCGGGCGATGGTGCATTCTTGTTGCAACGTCGGATCTCAGGGTTCCCTCCTGATCACCATCGTTTTCTGACGGGCCAGGGGCCCTGTAAGAGCCCACCATTCCGTCGTGCTTTTTTGTTGCATGGCTCGAAAGGGTCTGGGTCACCGGCCCTGCACGGGACTTCGGTGCAAGATGCCTTCCCTCTCTGAGCTACGACGTTGCCAAAAAAGTGCAACGTCGCAGCAAATCTCGCCTGGAGCCCCAGACCCCATCCTTCTGCGTCATTTTTCGAGCTGGGTCGATATGTGAGGGTCCCCAGACCCGAGATTGGGCGAACCCCCCCGCTGCGTAAACATTGCAACGCCCTAGGATCTCAGGGGATGCCTTCCCTGTCCCCGATGTCCTCCCCCACGGGCGACACGGAAAGGCGGGGCTGCCGCAGCAGCTGCATGCCGGCCAGCCGGCGGCATGCCTTCAGCGCCTCCAGGGGCACCGGCCGGGGCAGCGCGCGCACGGGCCGCAGGTCCACCGCCAGCCACGCGGGGCCAGTGGGGTCCGGGTACGCAGCGCGCGAGACCTCGGCGAGG